TCTACAGTGGACAATATCTACACCTACGTGGCGATTTGATAATGATATCTTTGATCCTAAGGAATGCAAACCACGATTGTCGTCATCTACTGAAGCTGAATTACAATACTACACTAAGAGGTCCAAAGCTAAAGCTGACCGCACAGTATAGCCGTTTGGATTGTCACCGGAATTTTTATTCACTTCACGTGTGCAAACCATGGAAAACCCTACCCACTTACGTTGTTTCATCCTCCACACTGATGGTATTCAAAAAACGTCTAGCAAAGACACTCTTCATTGCACACCTATTACGTGAACTAGAACCACTCCCCATATGGCTTTGTGTGAGCACATGCAACTCCCATTTCAAACTAAGGTTAGTCAGTTAAATCTGTAGGCGTTTAAACCGATAGGCACTTATCACTTGATCTACTTTTTCTCACTATAACAACTCTGCGGGACTTGTCAAGCACCCGATTTTTACTTTTGATAAATCATGGTTCATGCTTGCATATAACACTGCACGGAAGAAACCACCATGTGTTTGTTGGAATTGGGGTTGCAGAAGGAATTTGCGACCACCCAATTATCACCCCCTGTCGAACGTCTACTTCTACGTTGGTCAGCCTCATGGGCTGGCACGGAGCATTTGTGTGCTTGTCCACTTGCTGTTCCAACGCTACCTACCGTGACGCCCTTACTGTGTGACGTAGTGTCCGATTTCCAGTTCATCCACGTCCCACCTTGTTTTCACTCCAACGTACAAGTACACCTATGTTCAGCCTTATCGACATGGCACTGTTTCCCTTGGTTTGATCGATTTGTGTAACACACACAGCTTGTACAGGTAAATGCACCAGACCTGCCCACAGCATGTTTCCTTGGTGGACGCATACCCATTGCCACTGGCTCTTTTGGATTCTTACCATAAGCCTTGTGTGTCTGTTTGTTTCCATTGTGTTCTTTCGCACGTCTGAATTCACGGGTCGCTCGTGCATCTGAGTATGAATTGTTGACAGAATTTTGAGTTTTGACATCTTTAAGCTAATGTCAATTATGATACGATGAATCTGTAGAAATAGCATCATTATCTCAGGTCCGGACTAGGTTTTTTGTTGAATATTACGGTGGCATAAGAGGTTTGCTCTTTCAAAAACTTTGGAGCATTACAATGATGAGTAGCATTTTGACAGAAACTGCTCGTTGACCAGTCACCAGCGCACCGTCCGCCACAGGGATGCCATAATGGAGCACATTGCCGATCGACCTCACGACGTCTTCACCGGGAAGTCCAGTCGAAGCCGTCTCAATAGCGAGGAATCAAATGGGAGTCTACTGTGGTTCATGTAGCTGCATAAGAAGGGTTTTCCACTTCGTAAGTTTATCACCGTCACTACGAATAGTCAATCAGTGTGCCTACAACTGGATACATCTGACGTTACCATCATCCCCAGTCTGAAATGGTGGACTATTGGTAGATCGATGGTACGCAATGCGGAAAATACGGCAAAGACTGCATCGAACAGTATCCTACGGATGAATGGTCAATATTCCTGTGAATATGTTTACGAAAACGATAACAGAGATGGCGTCTGTTATGGTTGTGACAACCCGGTGTCAAACAAACTTAATATTGGATGATCACCGCGTTGAACTTGTATTGCGTTTCTCTCGAATCTGTGTGCTATCCCACTGCGGAAAGTTTATCAGGTCCGGACAGGTCATCACTCGGCCACGAAGAGCTGAATTATACAATCGCCGACGATATGTAGAAGCGATTCCATGAAGTATTCAACCCCACACTCAGCTGTGATACCAAATTCAAGGCATCTCTTTATTTAAAGGATAACGCAAAGCCTGTTTTCCGACCCAAAGGACCAGTGCCTTATGCTTCACTTAAATTAATCGACGATGAATTGGATCGTTTGGAGCAATCAAGGGTGTTACCTAAATAAGAATACTCAGACTGAGTAGCACCCATAGTGATAGTGAAAAAGGCAAACAGAACCATCCGCTTATTTGCAGATATTTCAACCATTAATACATACCGCTACTATCGGAAGTTTTGGGCAAACGCAACGGCAGCCGAATTTTTCAAAGATTTATCTCTCGGATGCCTATCTTTAAGTGGTAGTTGATGAAGACGCACGGCGCCTTTTTACAATTAACACTCACCGTGGCCTGTATCAGTACAACAGGCTACCGTTCGGAGTGAACGCCGCTCCAGGTTTCTCTTAACAAATGATGGGTAGGATGTTGGCGAACATAACATCGGCTTGTGCACACCTAGATGATATTTTTGTCGCATCAGCAGACAGAATCCGGCATACTAGTCCCCACTTACAGGTATTCGGATGAGTACGGGAATATAGTTTGACTCTGAGGGCTGATAAGTGTCTGTGGTTTATACCTCAACTGAAATACCTTGGTTTTATTGTCGATGGTGACTAGTGAAGACCTGCTAATGAAAAAATGCGCGTCATAAAGGGATTAGCTGCACCACACGAAATACCTAAACTACAATTGTTGATGGGCAAGGCGCATGTATCCCTGATATGCATCGACTGCGCAAGTTGCTGGGTAAAAATCATCCCTGGTTTTGGTCATCCCAATGTGAGGAAGCGTTTCAGCTCAGTAAGAAAACTCTTGTATCTGACTTAAAGCCGACACATTATGACCCAAAAGCCGATATCAATGTCCCTGCAAATGCCTCTAGTTAGAGCGGTTCTCCGTCAGCCTTTCGATTCTAGCACCATGAGGCCGGTTGAATACGCAGCACAGATCGAAAAGGAGGCACTAGCTTTAACTTTCGCTGTCAAAGCGTTTCGTCGGATGCTGCAGGATAGAGAATTCGTATCGGAGACTGACTATAAACCTTCATTAGCCATTTTCGATTCAAAGAAGTGCATACTTGTGTACACGGCGGATCACCTCCAACCTTAAGCGATGTTGTTGCTCGGATAGAAATGTTCGTTAGCTCATGTGCCTACGGGAGAGTTCAGCTACACAGAGGCGCTGTTTCAACTTAGCGCAAAACAACAGAGCATAGACGACCAGATGATCGCGTCAGTTGCGCTTGAATCGGACGTGAAACAGTTTCTGTGAAATTCAGTCCGAGTTCCTTCGATTGCTACTGTGAAAATTCAGGATCACACCAAACTAGACCTACTTTTGCAAACCAATATGTGCTTTTAAACACAAACTGTATTATTGACACACCAATAATTTTATTGTCGAGGTGACTCGTTGGCACTGTTTGATGATTGTGTTATGTCCAGTGAATGCGTAGTTGTTTCGCAGTCCCTGCAGGCAAGGGTATTAAGATATTTGCACCTACATCACCCCGGAATATCACAGATGAAGGCTTTAACCAGAAGTTACGTATACTGGCCCCTTATTGACAACGCTATTCATGATTTTGTTGCCACTTGGATCAATTGCAACAGCAGCGAAACTCCAAAGCAAAATCATCCAAACTTGAATGCAAGCCTCCAAGCCTTGGGAGAATTTACGTCGATATCGCTAGTCCAGTGCTTTTGAATTGTGGTTGGACATATACCTGGTGAACACAACCATGACAGCGGCCACAGTACGGCAACTACAACAGTTATTTACACAGTTCGATTCATTAAACACCTTAATTTCGAAAAACGGTTCACAATCTATCTCTGATGAAGTTGTTTTCTGTCAGCGTAACGGTATCAAGCACTGCCGGTCACCTCCGGGACATCCCCAGTCCAATGGGCAAGCAGAAAGATTCGTGGACACCTTCAAGCGTTCACTTCTAAAACTGTGGGGGTGGGGAGGACCGACAGAGATCGTACATCTGTTTTTGATAAGTTATCGGGCTACGCTTAACACCAGGCGGCAGATCAACAGCGGAAGCCATGCCCGGGTGAGATACGTCTTACGATTGATGCAATACGCCCTAAGGTTACGCAACAGCCACTCACATCAGGTGTGAGTAGACGTTTTCTACCAGGGTAGCTGGTGTAGGCGTTGGATACAAGTCCGAACCACCAAACCTGTAATGGTGCGGAAAAGGAAAAGCACTGTGCTATACGAGGTGCCTATCGGATCGTTGTCATTCGTTCTGCACGTTAATCAGTTATGCAAACGATGGACCGTACATAAAATGTCTTCCACTTCCGAGTTGCCGTTCCATGTACTGCTGGATATGTTTGAACTACCAAAACTGTGGAGCTCAGTGAATCGACGAAAATGCGTACACAGCCATGCTACGGAGTCGCTCGAAAACTATGCGGACAACTCAACCGATCCGACGTTTACAGGTGTAGCCAGCACTTGAATCCTACAAGTCAGGTAGTGTTTTCAAAGAGGGAGGCGTTACGCTAAACGATCAGGTACCTTAAAAGTACAACGTTTTTCCACACCTCTGACCACGAACTTCACTTTCACCCAGTGCTTTACCGTGGTTCATATGCATGAAGCTGCCGATCATGCGAGGCTACCAGCCTGACACTCACTCGGCTTCCTTACCTGTTTCATGTGACTTGTCGTTTGGTCAGTGCACTGTCCGGTGTGGCGAAGTCTTTGTTCTGACGGTTCTACACCCCAGCTACCGCGATCATAACATAAGCACATAATAATTTTAGGTAAACCGCGAAGTTGGAAACAAAAGCAGTGCAATCGATCTAATCCCGACCTTAAGGGATAACACGTCAAGAAGCTCCAACAACGGCATCGCCATTTCTCAGGTATACCGCCGACACGTTAATCAGAAGAGATGAATAATGACCGAACAGATTATCCACATAACGCCGATGCACGGAATCTTAGTTCAGCTATTCCACAAATAACAAAGAAGGCAAAATTCCTGTCGAGAGCCGGCTCGACAAACGCTTGACCATGGACTATCGAAACGGATTTGTCACTTTGAGCAGATGATGTAGATCGTGAAACATATTAGATTGCTGCCACAACGGAGACATTTAGCTTAGGGATATAGTGACGATGACATTTGCCGAACAATCCCCAAAGAAACAAGTTCGAACGATCTGAATACAAAGTATATGGCGTTATCAGGGCTGGAATATGTATTTCCACCTGACCGTAAGTAGGTACAACAAAAGGCAAAAATTTTTCACCGGAGAATAAGGAGGAGCAAGAAAAAATCGATACAAAAGACGCAAAGGTTGCAACTTCAGCGGGATGAAATTTTTTAAATGCGACGGAAAGCTTGAATTCACTGGTGGTGTGTGAAGTGGAGGATGATTGGGTGAACCGCTGAGCGAGACAGTCTTTCTTCACAGTTACTGATGTCATACATTCGCGTTAACTGAGTGGAATAGAGCAGAAACTAGTAGAAACATCAGAGGATAGAAATTTCACCGAAAGGACTCAGAAGGAAGTCAGAAAGAGCGACGCATTGTGGAGGAAGATTAAGAAAAACAAGCGCACCTGAGCTGTTATCTCAAGGTACAGACGGATTGAAAGATGAATCCATAGGCTATCTGGACATCACTACCAACGTATTCGTAGGGAAGCAGGAATTAAGTGGTACATTTTCCGGAGACGTCAGGCATGCGTAGGCATTCGGATAAACTGGGGCCCTTGGCACCGTGGGGATCTTCAGCAATTAGGAAGGTGTCAAGAGCGATAGTGTATTGAAGCAAACTGAAGGAGATGAGAAACAAAGAGCGGTCAGCGAAATTTGAGTGCACATCGTGCAAGGTATTGGACAATAGATTGTATGTTAGGGCCATTTGTGATTTCGCACAAACTCACTGCCACTGGATACGGAGGTGTGCATGTCGTATTAATGGTTGAGCTAATATGAAGTAAAAATCAGGCATTACGATTACTGAGATCCCATCGGAACAGCCTCGATGTCTCCGTTCCGGAGAGGTACGGGGACAGATTAGAACGGATCTGCGCTAGGGGTTGGAGCCAGATCACGGGGACGATGTAACGATGGACGATGTAACGGCGGGATGTGCGATATCTCGAGCAGTTCCATCAGCAGTGCTTGCGACGGATTTTGCGCATCGGTTGGGGCGACAGAGTTGCAGACACGGAAGTGTTACGCCGAAGTGGGATGTATGCAGTGGGCTGCATACTTTTGCTGAGACACCTGAGGTGGATCGGTCATGTGAGGCGTATGGATTCGACGCGGATACCGAGGCAGCTATTATATGCTCAGCTGAGTATTGGGAAGCGGCAAGTGGGAAAACCAAAGTTACGTTACCAGGACATGATTAAAGTGAGCCTCACACGTTCTAATCTTGATTGCAGGTCATGGGAATCGAAGGCGGTTGATCGGCGTGCATGGCGCGATCTAATCACGAAAGCAGTTGCCGAAGTGAGGGAGAAAGACCTCATACATACAGAGAAGAAGCGGCAAGTGGGGAAGTGGCAAGCACCGATGGCTTGTACTACATCCACATCGAGCTCATGATGCTGTAGCACATGCGGTCGCGAGTGCCTGAATCAGACAGGCCTAGTGAGCCATGAGTGAGGCCACTCGGGACCAGTACCGAAGCGACGACGGGTCCTGCAGAGAACGTAGGCAGAACCGGCGCAGCGTTTGTAGGTACGCTGTATTCGATTTACTAACCGCATGCTTGCATGCTAGGTCTATTTATTTCAGGTGGTGGGTTTTCAATTTTGTCCTAATGTTTTTCTTTCTCATATAAATAGCTACCTGTACTCTCTTATATAACCTTGCACACGTCGCTTAAGTCAATCGTAGTTAGTTTCGATAACATTTTCGTGTTTGTGGCATTTCCGTAAAATATACTTTCTGACCTCGTGAACTTATCTCGGATTCTTTTGTAAACAACTTATTTCATATGCTCATTAATTTAAGATTTATGTCACCGTTTCCTTAGGCATTACTCGATTTATTTTATTTGTTATCTTTCTCAAGTGATTGGCTGTTGCTTGATATCCCCGGTGTGGCTGCGCTTGATGTGCATGTTGACAAGGTGCCTACCTGTCTATTACCCACTACCTCGTCCATACTGTCTCTAGGAGATAGTTGGTCGTTGCTGGAGGGGACGGGGTGCACGGTCATCGTGGCCGTGTTGGAATCAAAGAGTGGTTCCATGCACTCAGTGTGGAGCGGACTACAGTTCAGCCACCGCCTTGTGTGCGCTTGATTCCCCAAATACAGTGTGCATGTGTTTGCCTGTGAAGGAGTGTGGGCCGGCTTCGTTGATGAAACGTGGCTCCCATCCACATGCCTCCCGGTCTTATTCCTTCGGGTTTACACTGGATATGGGGTGCGTGGTTGGAGCTGTGGGTGGTGCAGCGCAAGCCACCCATGGTCCCTCTGTAGGCGCAGGCGTCCTGTGGCTGACCACAGTTACAGGCAAATCCGAAGCCGGATGCCGCCAACCAGATATATATATATATATATATATATATATATATATATATATATATAATCTTCGTTGACTTTTTGACATGGTCCTAATGCACGCTTGCTGCCTCGCGCTGCGTTCTCTTTGAGCTCCTGCTAGTGTGTTGGTTGTCGTATTGCTATGCTGCGCCTCTGGAACCTAATGTCTCGTAACTCTTTAGCCCACCGATCGGATTCCTTGCTTCTGGACCATTGCACACTACATATTTGGTGACAGTAGTGGGATCTCAAGAAGGCAATCCTGTTTACCCGTCCCTTTGTCTTTTCAAGTCACATAGATCTGATTGCTTGGGAGCAGACGGTGGAAGGTTATCACTCAGCGCTTATCACTCGACGCACATAAAGGTGGATGTATCATGTATTATTTGGAAGACGACGTTATGAAAATTGTATTTACTGTTGATCTCCCATCAGGTTACTCGTTGTATTTCAGCTGGGATCAACTATGCTCACTGTCCTCTACCCGTAGTGTGCAGGCAGATAAAGTAACCACATCTAGTGCCCACAATACTGAACCAGTTTCCGATACGCAATATGATTCTGTGGTTCAATCTGGTGTACTGTTGTATCACCGCCAACAGTCGACTACTGCTCGAGGACCATGTGCGACTAAACCTGTGGCCCTCTATACAGATATGACGCAGCCCACACTCTGAGTGGTGCTGAAGTCGACTATTCACTCGCCTGTCACGCACGTCTCTAAAAAGTCGCAACAATGGCTGTAGCATCAACCGCCAAGTTTTTACTTTGGTACACCGCATAGCACGAAGCAGACACCTACGTCGTCTGTCACCAATGCTGTACTCGATGATCATGGTTCAGAAATTGCAGCCAGGATGTCCGACATTGCCATGTGTGAATGTGAGGCGCCCGATGATGATGTTGGGGACAATGTTCCATTAAACCTGCAGCCCAATAGCGCCGTGGACGTTGTTCCGTCCCACGCCTGTTGGACTGACAGTTTGACACCCGAAGCTCCTTCAAATTGACATTCAGCCGGAGTGAGAGTGGTAATTGTCATCATTCCGAGTGCGCAGCCTACCTTGGGTCGCTTACTCGATGGCCTGGCTGCTGGAGATCCTCCATTTGCAACTGTTAGTCCAGCTTACCACTGCACTCCCGAACCAGTACCAACTGTCGCTTCTTTGTTAAACCAGTCCACTAATTTGAACTCTGCTTACAAACCTGCGTATCCTGTTTCATTGAGTTTTGATATCCAAATTCACACCTTGAAATACCATTCACATGCTATTATATTCGGTTGCGACCGATCTTACAGCCGTACAACGAAGAGAACAATCAACTCTGTTCCTGGTGACACTGTCCGTTCACTATTTGTGCTATCCCCCGTATCGAAACTTGTGTCCCCGTAAAAAATATCAGTTGAACAAACATGAAAACCTGCTCAACCTTCATGATCCTGCGCCACTTAGTGCGTCGCGGACGACGCCTATTCCTTGGGGGGAATAGGGTAGTGGAATTCCCCAAAAATTCTTGCGTTTGCTTGCCATCAGTGTGTTTTGTTAGCCAATTGAAACGCTACTTAGCTCCCTTTGCTGTCCCATAACGTTTCTCCTGGTTGCCTCGGTAACATATATATTGGAACCCTGTTTGACATGGCCTTAATACACGTTTGCTGCCTTGTGATGCATCCTTTCTGACCTCCTACTTGTGCGTTGGTTGTCGTATTGCTCTGCTGCGTCTCCGGAACCCATTCTTTAGCCTATGGATCCGTCCTCCGTGCTTCTGAACCACTGCATTATCCACCACATACAAGCCCCGCGTACACAAGGTGTACAGATGTGCGCACTCATAAAAGCTTATGGTCAAATGCTTTGTATAAATGTACACTTGCTCTTATTTGTGTCATGGATAAGCAACGAGCATAATCTTTGGTTCACTAGGTTATGAGATCAAATGCATCGCTACCAACAAAAGCAATAATTTTTTTATTAAAAGTCTGCCTGTGAACAAAGGGGACATGTAGGGTAACAATAGCACTTCATTTTGCCTACAGTTAAAATTGTAAATGCGCCGACCCAGTGATATAGCCTCACTGGCGTGCGTCTTATCCATATGCGAAAAGGAGGAAATAGTTCTGGTCGCTTGTCGGTTACCATCTTAGATGGTGTCTCGTCACGCAACTTGCATAATTTGTGGTGGAAGATATTAAGAGGGCCAACCTAAATAATGTCAAAGTTGAACATGCAAAGATGCCAAATCCACGAAACTGATGAGGTTGTAAAGGTTGTGTCTAGATTGGTTGCAGAAAAACTTAGCCATCCGCCACACGCTAGGAAAAACGCTAGTAGGTGGCTTCAGAGAGATGTGAAAGCAATCGGTTGGTGTGCTTGTTGGATAACGCTTTTGACAGTAAGACTTAGTCAGGCTGTGAATCAGGACATGGCTAATGTGGTAATTTATAGTGAGCGAGGGCGATGCTAGCGATAACAGGATCCATGACAGAGATTGAGATGTCAGCTCAAGTGGTGCAAGTAGAGCGTGAATATTCCGACGGCTTTATCGTTGTGTCGCGCTGACAATGACGACCTTGGGGATGATGATAAGTGTCGATGACTGCAATCCACTCTAATCCGTTCATCGATATTCGTCAAATTGGACAGGTTAATATCGCTCGCCACTGAGTCGAGAAGGCCACCTCCTCTATACCACTCTGCTTTGGTCGAGATGCTTTACAATGTTCCGTATTCAGACATGTCACTCCGCGACGGTGAAATGAACTCTCCATGTGCATAGCTCTCTCGTTGTATGAGCGATGTATGCGTGTGCAGTCTTAACGGTTGCTTTCGTACACACAGTTAGCTGTCCTATCTGTGGGAAGGTTCTTCAAACACACCAGCGTTGAACGTAGAGTTTAGCCCTACCGGAAAAACACCTTCATACCCCTGTTCAGTACCGTCTGAGCTGCTTGATTCATGTTTCTGTTAGCACAGGTATGATTCTCGTTTGCCATAAAGCGTCACACCAACTATGTGCTGACTCAGCTGGCCTTTTTGTCAAATGTTACCCAACAACAAGATCAATCAACTGTTTCCAAACTCCTGAATTATGGCATTCCATAGATTCCAAGTATACGCTAAGCGTTGGAAGGTGAGTTAGTCCCGCTGAAAATCGTTAACAATGCTCTTATACGTCGAACACTTGGAGATTCTAAACCAAAACTATTCCATGTGCATCAAGTGGTTTACGATACTAAGTTATGAGTGGTGGATCGCCACGACGTGCTGAGGACAAGTCCTAATGCGACGAAACGGTCATCAGGCGCCTTTTCGGATGTGTGGAAGCGGCGAACTAGAAACCAAAACCCAACAATTACCCTCAAACAATCAGTGATCATCGGAGCAGGTTAATTGCCATTTCAATTGGTGGAATCTCGCAAAGGAGGCCAACGCAGTCTTCTGTTAGCTCATAGCATGCGTGGCAGTGGAGGACGAACCGCTTAGTCTCCCACCGGTTCGCGATTCTGATGCGTGACCTAGCAGGATCCGGCGGATGCGTATTACTGACAAGTCCCAATGGGATGAAACAGTCAATTAGTGCTTTTCCGGTGGGTATCTGACCGTTTGTTTGCGAGGAAAGCTTTTGCAAAATGCTTGAAAACTCATCACCATTTAACAATCATTAAAATGTAACTCCATGAGTTGAATTTGGTTATAAAGTAGCTGCGGCTCCCGAGAGCAGAATGACTGGCGCTAATCTCCGGTGTGCTGGGAATACCGTTAGCTTCAACTCTCAAAACGTTTAGCTTCACCTCCTGCTCTAAATGAATCTTACCGCTGGAACATTAAAATACTTGAGGTGTATGTTCAGAGCGATTTGGATAAAGCTTTCTAAGGAGGCTTGTCTCATCACAAAGGTAACGGCAGGATATCCGTGAAAACTCCAGAAGGCGACCTCATTCTTTAGATACTCGCTAGTCTGTACGCAGAATGAATATAACAACCGACCTACGACTTTCGAGTTGGCGACTAGGGCTGCTGAGTCAAAGGGATGAACGGTAACTGCCGTGAGCTTATTCTAGACATCAACAGTACTGCCGCACACTATACCGGCGCTCCACTACCATCAGTCGTGTGTGGACTGGCTATACGGCGAGGTCGCCTGCACCCAGGTTGTTGAAACGCTTAGCTTCGAATTACAAATCAAGTGGTCGGTCGGTTGCCGAGTGGTCTGCACGTCTGGCTTGCAATCAAAAGGTCAGTGGTTCGAATCCGCATGGGAGCGGGCGTCCTCGCGGTATAATCAGCCTACGCGCGACTGATAGTGGTCGAGCAGTAATGAAGCGCTGTTACGGCGTACAGCTGATGGGCTATTTATGTTACAAGTCAAGTGTGTAATCCATTCGATCAACTGCCGAAAAACCGACTTAGAATGCTGTCGAGTGGTGGCAGTTCAGCAATGGAATCCATTCCAAAGAGGAGTCCAAGTCTATTCTCTGCATATATGACAGTGGAGTAGGAGTATATGCGTCACAGCTAGTTACTTAGTCAGCGTGGCTGCCCAACATCGTCATGACTCAGTGGTCTAAACCATTAACTCGCTGATTCTAGCACGGCAATGCGCTTTGCCGATGGTATCCGGAGGGATGAGAACGGACTTCCAGTGGTTGTGATGAACCCCTTGGGAAGAAATATTTGCCGAAGCTTTCGTAGAGTAAGCAGCAGTTAATTCATACCTGTTTTCATATGGTGCCGCGGAAAACTTGTGCTTTTGAGATCTGCACATCTTTACTTCCTCTTGGGAATGATTCTTTACCGAGTCACAATGTGCACCGAACTGGACTTAATGTTTGAAAAGGCACAATCGCGCCTGGGGAAAGTAAAACTAAAAAGGCCGATTCCTGTGAACCCTTCGCGAAAATTAAGCCGTCAATGGATTCAATTATGTTCGTGCTTTGTAGAGGCACGCGGAAGCGACCTTAATGCTTTACACAAATCAGCATTTCGCACTTGGGCACTTATCCTGCTAGTCGAATAGCACACAAATCTTTTTATCTAATTATTTGCTTATGCATTCATTTAAGCTAGTTCAAAGCTACATGCCACCAATATCTTCGATTAGGAAAGCAGTGCCAAGTTCGCCAATAGCGAAAAATTCGAATGCCAACAGCTGAAGTCACAAGATTAGCCGATACGTTTGCGTGAAACTATGCACATCGAGTAATCTTGGTAGCTACACAGGGGTTAATTCATTCATCGGCGACCGCATTCATCCAATCCGAGCAATACGGTAACGAGAAAATAAGCGCTAGTGACGACGTTCAACTGCTCAAAGGGGATACATTCGAAAAGCATATGCCCAACTGTATGAGACACATAACGGACGGAAAACACCGGTAGATAAACAAATGAAAGTGAGTACTTTAATAAATAATAATAATAATGTGTCAGCCGTACGCCGTAACGGCGTTTCGCTGCCGTGCAACCACCACCAGTCGCGCGCGGGCTGAGTATACCGCGAGGACGCCCACCCCTACGCGGAATCGAACCGGTGACCTTATGGTTGCAAAGCAAACGTGCAGACAACTGGGCCACCGGCCGAGTGAAGCTGCATGGTACAGTGACAGTTCGGTAGGCCGAAATCTGGCTGACGCGATGCGAACAACAAAGACGGTCGGTCAGACATGTAGATGTGGCGGTGATCACGTTTGAATGATAAGACAGCACAAAATAATCGACACCACTTAGCTGGACAACGGGAAAACAGAGTGGCGAAGAACGCGGTCACGACGCAAATCACGCTCAATTAGGCAGGCGCGTGACAATGAGAATGACGGTTGGCACAACACAGCGGCACAGGCAAAATCAATGCGATATTAATGCATCGATCGATCTGGAAATATTAATGATTGAAATGCCCCTCAACGTACCGATGATCGATGACGTCCCGGAAACTTTCATTCTCATCGCGATAGTTGCGGAACTGGTCGTTGGAAACGACAACCGCGTTGCTCTGGACGGCCAGTTGTAAAATAATTCTACAAAACAACAACGATAATTGGATCAGTGCGATTATGAATGAGATCAAAGGAAGCTTGTCAATGAAAGATTTAAGAGCACCACTTGTTCGAAAGTTCAAACGGACCCAACATTCTGCAACGGAAATTGCGACGCGTTTAACACGTGAGTTACTCCATAAGGCCATAAAATTAAGACACTTAAAAACGGTAACAACTTCAGGGTTGCATGGGGAGCGATTAGCCGGGATGTTAGGAGCAGCTTCGAAAAGATGGCGCAAAAATTAGGGTATATAAATGCGGCGCTTCGAATGAAACAAAGGTTGATACGGCTCCAAATGTGAGATGGACCCTATTCAGCATAGCGAGAGTGGACAAGGAGCCACGAGAACCCATTATCGCATTTGCTATGAGAAATAATGTGTCTCCATTGCGTCCTTATCGGAACGATTGGAAATGACTCCGTTCTAACAGCTTCGCCCGAAGTGAAAATTCCATCGACAGAAAGATTCCACGTTAGAATAACAGTGGGGCGGAGCTCACACGCGGTTGACGGTATGGTCCTTGTTCTTCTCTGCTCTACTCTACTGAACCATGCAGAACTGGCGCTGCGTGCTGTGACCGGAGAGGCAAAGATAAATGAACATGTAGTTGGTATAAGACTAGGGCATCAGATCGGTGCGAGACAAGACGGCGGCCTCCGCTTAGCCTGAGAGGCCATGGCAGTTCCAGTAACGCGTTGTATCTAAGAGTACTTGTGTCGACTCTGATCATGCCTTGGTACGTTGTCGTTTCTCCATGAACTTTACCGGGAGGCGCATCAAGCGTCCCCTACGATTGGCAACTGAGAAATTGTCTCAGTCATCGATCAGGCAAGCCTATCAAGAAGCACTGCATACCGAACTTCCGCTGTCTTGTCCTAATGACGCTGAGCTTCAGTGGGATAGGATGTCGGCCGCCATGCACGACGCAAGAGCATCTGCTTGTGGCACTATCCATCGTCACCGCACCAGTCACTGGATATCTGAGAGGTCGGTGAACCTGTTGGAATCTAGAAGACACCTCCCGGCTGGCCCTGAACACAATGTGACCAGACGGGCTATTAGGCGTGAACTAAAGCAGAGTCTGCATGCTGACAAGGAAGCCTGGTGAGGCTGGTGGGGCTCAAGAAATGGAGGAGGCAGGAGCAGTAGGCAATTACCGCAAGCTCTTCCAGCTGATCCACACCACTGGTCCCAGGAAACCAGGAGTCAGTGAGACAATCAGAGACAGCGCGGGTGCGCTGATACACAATAAGAAGCGCCGTATGGCTCGTTGGGCGGAACACTTTCAAGATCAGTTCAGCTGGCCCCCTGCTCCCGGACCTCTTCCTACTCAGGTGATGCAGGACAAGCCATGGACGGTTAGTTTAGAGCCTCCGTCAGAGGCCGAGGTCCGAAAAGCGATTACAGCCCTTAATCGTTTTCGTGTCGCTGGCCTGAATTCCATCCCACCTGCACTATTTAAGGATGGAGGTGAGGTCCTCTGCAAAGCACTGACCTGCTTATTCGAACGTATCTGGAAGGAAGAGAGCGTCCCGGCTAATTGGAACGAATCGATTACAGTGGCAATATACAAGAAGGGCAGTCGCACAGACTGTTCTAACCACAGGGGTATTAGCTTAATGCCAGTTGTGACAAAATTACTGGCATCGATTCTCGTTCGTCGCCTCACTGTGGAACGGGAATCTCGGATTATGGAAGAGCAGGCTGGTTTCCGCCCAGGACGTGGCTGTATGGACCATATATTCACTTTGCGGTAGGTGCTAGAGTAACGCCACGCATACCGCAGACCGACAATAGCTGTGTTCCTCGATTTCACGAGTGCGTTCGATTCAGTCGATCGATCGATTCTGTACGAAATACTTGCGCGGAAAGGTGTTCCCACGAAATATGTGAACATCCTTCGTGCTCTATACTCGAACACTACAGGCAGCGTCAGGGTCTACAGTGTCCTGTCGGATAGCTTTTCGACCACAAGTGGCGTTCGTCAGGGTTGTCTGATTTCTCCATTTTTGTTCAATTTCGTTGTGGGTTCTATCATGGAGTGTTCTCTTGCGGAATCTCACGATGTAGGCATCGAAGTGCAGCCTGGTGGAAGGTTAGTTGACCTAGATTATGCTGACGATATCCTCTTGCTTTTCGACGATGTTGGGGCGGCACAATCAACTCTGAATAGCCTGTCCAGAGTGGTCCCATTATTTGGTATGCGCTTCGCACCTTCAAAGTGCAAAGGGTTGCTGCAGGATTGCCAGCCACTTGATGACCGTTTGACGCTTGCTAACGAGGAACTCGAGGTGGTTGATCATTTCACTTATCTTGGCAGCTGCATCAGCAGTGATGGGCGCATAGAAACTGACGTCAGCTCACGCATCGCAAAAGCCAGAGCTACCTTCTTGAATCTGCGGCATCTTTGGCGACAGAAGGGAGTTTCCCTTCGTCTAAAAGGCCGTGTATACAAGGCCACAGTGAGGGCCGTTATGCTCTGTGGCTTTGAGACTTTGCCCCTTCGGTCTGGAGATCTGAGGCGCCTTCAAGTCTTTGATCATCGTTCTCTGCGAAGCATTTCTGGAGTTCGATGGCACCAGCGTGTCCGCAACCATGATGTGCGTAGGCGAGTACTAGGAAGTGATAATCATGCTAGCTCCCTAGAACATCAGATAGCACTGAATCAGTTGCGTTGGCTCGGGCACGTGCTACGTATGCCTGGTCACCGCTTACCTGGGAGGGCCTTGTTTAGTCTGCCAGGTGTAGGGTGGCGCAAGGCGCGCGGTGGACAGAAGTTGACTTGGAAGCGGGAAATGAAGTCACTGACTACCAAACTGTGTGCCGTTGGTCCGTCTCGCCTTTCGGGCTGGAGTCCACGTGACTCGCCTTGTGCTTGGCACGAGACATTACAGGACATGGCTCGCAGTAGACACCAGTGGCGCGTCTGCTGTCGTCTCCTGGTAGGACTGCCTGTTTAAAGTGTGTTTGGTGCTGAGTTATCTGCGAGGTAATGGCTGATTATGACGCGGGGCAACGAAAGCCGCAAGGAAGCTGTCTCGCCGATGCCGCCTTATCTTTGCACGATAGCCAGCTGTTTGTGACGGTATGTTGTCTACAAAAGGTGTAAGCGCCTTGGCCCTGAATGTTTGCTTAGGGCATTAAGCTTTTCAGGTAAGTCTCCCTTCTCTCCCTCTTTTTATTCTTTATTTAATAGGTCGCAATGGTTGTATGGCAGCGAAGCATCAGTTCAAATGGCTGATGTACTGCTGTTGATGATGATGATGTATCTAAGAGTTCACTCGCCTCCAATTCCTAGGCTGGCTTGCCGAACAACCTCCTCGTGGTGCCAGCTGGGTGGTTCGGGATTTTCCCGTTCCAGCAAATGGTTCGGCGGCAGTGTTCCAGGACGTGGTGGGTTTTCGCCTGGCAAGCGTTCTCCCTATAAAAAGCCACATATGTCCGTTTAACAACACTGTGACGTGGCGGACGTGACTCGCCAGTAAATAAAGTCACTGCCCCTTGCTTCATCCTGGCGAAGCATTGTATTCCAGCAACCTTATGCTGTACTTCTGGGGAGCATTGGGCCCCTGTTTGACAAAGGAACAAACGAAAGGCGTATGAACTGAGCAATCAGTCACCGGCTCCCAATGGGCGCGATTCCCTGAATTCACTCCGCTGCCTTGCGGGCAGGCTATTCAGCCAAAGGCTCGGGGTGGTGTCCCCTAAGTCAACACCCTACTTCGGCTTGGGCAACCGGGTAATATCTCGCCCTCTGAGGAAACCATGGACATTGTTGCGTTATGTTTTATTTTACTGTTTCTGTACCTTCGTTTGAATCCCATGGTTTCTGATGGCATTATGTCTGTCAGCAGACTTTTGCAAATATATATATATATATATATATATATATATATATATATAATTCCTAGTATCCTCAACCCTGATGATTTCAAGCACTCCCGAGAATAATGAAGTTACCGCGATCCTCAAACATTTTAAAAAGGTGCTTAAAAGGACAGTACAAGAACGTCGAATCGCCGACTTCATCAATTCTACAGATTCGGCATTCATATTCAGTCCAACAGGCGAGTTGCATGGCCAGTACGTTGACTGCCTCTCCTGTGGAACCAGACTCCAATTGGCCTGAGACAGTGAAATCTATTGGCCGACTGCGATTAGTAACCATAATGTATCCTTATCCTGTCTTACAAGCGTATGCGACTAATCGAAGAGGTTATTCTACAGTCAAACTGCTTTTATTGGTTAACTTATCCTCCATGTTCAGATCCGTACCCCAACTCTATCACCAAAACAGCACACGAGCCCCGCCAGTTAAGATGTTTGCTCTTGCCTGACATTGAAGATATGCGGAATAGTTTATAGCAAAATCTTTATAAGGATACTGCACAACAATCTTAGACTTTTAATATATAAAAATGCATCAGCAGTATGCTGGTATGCAGTATCGACGCTTCGCTGCCTCGCAACTAACACCGGTCGCACGTGGACTGAGGATACTGCGAGGGTCACCCGGTCCCTACGCAGGCCCGAACATCCACCCACAGAGTACAAGTCACACTTGTGATCCTTAAGGCTACGGGCATTATGCTTGACACTTCATCAGTGCTTGTAATCTTATGATCACGCTTATCGAGGCGTGCCTCGAAACTTTCGAGAATAAAAACTTAAACATTTATTTAAAGACGATAAAGGAAGCAAGCTAAACCATGGAGTTTGCGTGGACAGAGAACATCAGGAATACAGACTGCGCATCTCAGGATAAAAAAGTGGAGGAAACTCAAAAGGGAGTGTATCAAGGAGTGGAGCGCGCCGAGATAACCCGGGCAGTTGAGTTCAGTCAAACGGTGATCCCGGGACCAAAGTGCGGTGTGGATCCAACTAACGTAAGTCGAATTGCCGACAACAATAGACGGTGACGAGGAATGTGCTGAACGCAACAGAATATGGAGGAAACAGGAAAACAGGTGGATGGAAAGTTCGCAGCTGGATGCCAGAAACCGAACGAAGAAGCGCCAATGACTGCGCCATATCTACGACCAGTGATGTGACACAACCTGAGGCCTCCGTTCATGAAGACAGCAGGTGTCAACACAAGCTTCTGTGTCAATTTATTCATATGCCCATATTAGTCTTCGACTGGCCAGTTCGTAATAAATAGATGTGCCCATGTAGAGCGCGTTAAAAAGTTGTGTCCGATCTATCAGAGGCAGAAACATGCACAAGATAGCATAAGCACGTAACGAACATTGATTGTTACCACCATTGTATTATGGCTGGTAGAGAACGACACTGGCCGTTGTACTCGCAGTTTGTTGATTTCACCAAAGCATTTGATACGGTGGACCGCGAGGCACTGTGGCTGGTTTTGGGTAAGTTTGGTTGCCCGAATAAGTTGGTAAGTTTACTTGCATGTCTGCACAGTGGTATGCGAGCGAGGGTGCAGCTGAGTGGAGGAACCTCGTATGACTTTGCAGTTGTCTCTGGTGTGAAGCAACGTTGTGTCTTAGCTCCTGCCCTGTTTAATATATATCTTCATGCAACGATGTCTTGTGCTTTTGATGCTGCTTGTGCTTACGGTGTTCGTGTGGAGCACCGTATTGATGGTGGGTTGCTGAACATCCGTCGTTTCGGTACGAGAACCCTAGTCTGTGAGAAAACTATCCGTATGTTGCTGTTTGCTGACGACTGTGCGTTGTTTGTGCATAACGCGGATGAGTTGCAGCACATGACTAGTAGCCTGGATTCGACAGCAGTCGAATTCGGTCTCAACATCAACAAATGCAAGACTGTTTGTCTTTTCCAGCTTTCAACTGAAATCGAGATTACCGAGGAAGTGTTGGAAACCACTTCGAGATTTTGTTACCTTGGTAGCGTAATAACAACCGAGCAGCAGATGACGCGCGAGCTGTGCAGGCGCGTATCGAAGGCGGCTGCTATTTTTGGTAGGCTGGAATGCTGTGTGTGGAACAACCACCAGCTCAATGTTGGGACGAAGCTATTGGTATATAAGTCCATGGTGTTGTCCGTTCTTCTATACGGCAGCGAAACTTGGACGCTTTATCAAAAGGATGTCAAATATATGCAGCGTTTCCATCAGCAGTGTCTGCGCCGTATTATGCGGAGCGGCAGGAGTGACCGAGTTGCAGACACGGAGGTGCTTCGACGCAGTGTCGTGTATGCAGTGGACTGCATAATTCTGCTGAGGCACCTGAGGTGGCTCGGCTATATTTGCTGTATGGATTTGACCCGGATATCAAAACAGCTGCTTTATGGCCAACTGATTGCAGGGAAACGGCACGTGGGAAAACCGAAGTTAAGATACCAGGACATGATCAAACTGAGCCTATCACGTTCTAATGTTGATTGTAGATCACGGGAATCGAAGGCGGTTGATTGGTGTGAATGGTGCGATCTAATCACAAGGCAGTTGCCGAGGTGCAAGAAAAAGCCCTCGTGTATGCAGAGAAGAAGCGTCAAGTGCGGAAGCGACAAGCGCCAATGGACTGTACTCCATCGAGGTTGAGCGCATGGTGCTGTAGCACGTGCAGTCGCGAATGCTTGAGTCAGGCAGGTTTAGTGAGCCACGAACGAGACCACTCGGGTTCAACATCGAAAAGATGACGAGTCCTGTAGAGAACATAGGCAGAACCGGCGCAGCGTTTGTAGGCACGCTGCATTCGATTTACTAACCGCGTGCTTATGTGCTGAGTTTCTTTATTTCAGGTGGTTGGTTTGCTACCTTGTCTTGGTGTGAATTCCTTACCTCATTTTAATGTGTACCTGAATAATCTATTAAATTGCACATTTCACTTAAACTAAAGGTGATTAACTTCGCTTAGTTTTTCTCCTTACATATGTGTCTTGATCTCTTTCTCTGCCATCCTGAATCTATCACGGCTATTTTGATAATCCATTTATTTCATATGCTAATTCAGCGGCATATCTGTACGGTGTATTCAGTGTATTTCATTCGACATTTAATTTCATGTGATTGGCTGTTGCTTGACATCCCCGATATGCTTGCGCTTGATATGCATGTTGACAAGGTACCTATCTAATACCCACTAACTCGTCCATACTGGCTATAAAAGACAGTTGGTCGTTGCTGGAGGGGACGGGATGCCCGGTCCTTGTGGCCGTGTTAGGCTCAAAGAGTGGTTCCATGCAATCAGTGTGGAGAGGACTACAGTACAGCCACCGCCTTGTGTGTGCTTGATTCCCAAATACAGCGTGTTTGTCTTTGCCTGTGAAGGAGTGTGAGCCGGCTCCGTTGATGAAACGTGGCTCCCATCCACATGCATCCCGGTCTTATTCTTTGGGTTTACACTGGATACGAGGTGTGTGGGTGGAACTGTGAGTGGTGCAGCGCAAACCACCCATGGTCCCTTTGTAGGCGCAGGTGTCCTGTGGCTAGCCACAGTGATAGGCAAATCCGAAACCGGATGCCGCCAACCGTCATGGCTGAAAGGTCGTAAACTGTGCCGATTCCATTGCATGCACGAAACAGTGCAAAGCGTAAGCCGGATAAAAGCCAATTGAATGATGCCACCTTGCGGAGTCCATTTGATTAATGAATAGCCACAGCTGAAGAGCAAATATTTGGCGCTTAAGGTATTTCCCCTTTAGAAGGGAACGTGCATCTACCCACCTGTCGTCATCAGCAACTTGACGTTCATGTTGCATAAACCGCGATGATGAATAGCAAAGGTAGCCACCGCGTTCCAAACGATCGAATAGGCCACCACCAACGCCGCGGCGGAAACGAGGAACCACAGCGACTACGTTGGTGTGACCACGTTTGAAGAAGAATTCCAGAGCAAGACGGATGCCTTGGGGGCTAAACTTCTTCTGATTACCATGGCTGAAAGAGACATGAAAAAGCACACCGAAAGACAAGTGAGATAGAGAGAGAAAGAACGGAGGGACGGAATAAAATGAGCTGGCATTTGAGTGTAACAAAAAATTACAAGACGCACACCTCCGAATTGTTGCATGTGCCTGGGCGATCAGTTGCACCGTAGTAGGCGAGGAAGATAAAACTTAGATATACCTCTAGCATACACATGTAAGCTCTCAGGCTATACGTGCCCGACACTACAGATGAGCCAGTGTGTGTGGATGAATACCGTGCAACAACGTGACGGAACTACCATTCACTTGGTGCCTGGTTGGTAACTACGGATCATCGTCATCGGATAACACAATCGTTGCGGTGATAGAGCGCTTAAGCCCACTACATATGCGGCACTGTGAATGCCCCGAGCTGATGACACAGCAGCAACAGAGGCAAAAATATGTGCACTTGTCACTGGGAACAGAACCAAGCAGCCAATTATTGCCCAACTTGTATGCGAGGTTCGAGGACAACGAACACATCTATCCTACCTACTGACCGAACTGCCATAGAATGAGGATGCCAAACTGGCAAAACCGGACAGACACTGGGTGCTTTCTAGTCAGATAGCCTGGGAAAATGGATTTTCCGTGTGGGGGAAAGAAAAAAAGATGAGGGAAAATAGCTGTTTTATTAGAAAATGAAATTACGCGACGTTTCATTCCGAGAGAGAATTTGCTACAGAGCATCCACTTGATTCAATTATCTAACCAACAAGGTAATGTGACTGAGGGGTTTAGGTTGGTGAATTCATGTGGGGCATTCGACTTGCTAGTCCGACACACAAAGTAATGGCGAGTTGGTCCAGGTCGATACGGCACGGAGAAAATCCGCATGAGACAACTAACATGCAATCTCGAAAAGTTCTTAGGAAGGTAGTAAGGTCTATGATCGCGATATATGACACAACTACAAAAAATTTAGTGGATGCACTAAATGGCTTTGGAATGTGTCGCATACGGTTTGTAACAACAAACCAATCGGCAAGAGTTGCACGTCTCTCATTGTCAGTCACCCCCCGTTACGCTCATACTCTGGGTCGATCGACTTCATACACTTTTGTTTATTAAGGCTAGGGTCACCGAACTCTCCTTAACATCCAATGTATCGACTGAGACCGGACTCGATTGATATCTAACCAATGAGCTGCCTGATAAGAGCCGGTATGGGAGTGCCATCCAATCTATCTTGATGGATCAAGGGAGTAAGCAAACCATCGTACCATCTTAAGTAAGGCGTTCGCAGTACGCCGGAACTTGTACGGACATTTCGGTACAACGTGACCAACACGTCGGTGGTGGGCTAAGGATATTGCTTGATCGAACCGGTGATCTATGGATCACAAGGCAGATGCGTTAATCCCTCAGCAAACGGCCGGTGAAATCTTAGCGTCTCTTACTGAGATAGTCATCATCAGCAACAGAAGTACATCAGACATTTGAACAGATGCTTCATTGCTATACAACTATAACGACCTACGGAACTAAGAACAATAAAACAGAGAGAAGAAGGACGAACTGGAAAACCTTAATGCTTTAAGCAAACATTCCTGGTCAAGATGTCTACAAAATGTCAACAACATCCCGTCACAAACAGCTGGCTGTCATGCTAAGGAGGCATCAGCGGCAGCTTCCTTTCGGCTTTCACTGTCACACGTCATAATCAGCCACTACCTCGCAGATAACTCAGCACCAGACACGCTTTGAATAGGCAGGCTGGCGAGTCACGTGGACTGCGGCCCAGAAGACGAGACGGACCGACGGCGGCCAGTTTGATCGTCAGTGAATTCATTTCCCGTTGTGAAGTCAACTTTTGTCCACCTCGAGCCTCGTGCCACCCTACAACTGGCATACAAAACAACACCCTCCTCGATAAGCAGTGACCGGGCATTCATAGTATGTACCCAAGCCAACGCAACTTATTCAGTGCTGTCCGTTGTCCTAAGGAGCTAGCTTGGTTATCACCACCTAGTACTCGCCAACGCATATCATCGTTGCGGACACGCTGAGGCCACCCGACACCAGCAGTGCTCAGCAGACAACGATGATCAAAGACTTGAAGGCGCCGCAGGTTCTCAGATGGAAGAGACCAAGTCTCGCTTCCGTAGAGTAGGACGACCCTCATTGTGGCCTTGTAAACAAGGCCTTTTAGACAGAGGGAAACTCCTGTCTATCGCCGGATGTGACAGACTAAAGAAGACAGCTCTGGCATTTGTAACATGTGTACTGATTGCAGTGCTTATGCGCCCATCGTTACCGATGTAGATGCCAAGATGAACGAATCGATCAACTAGCTCGAGTTCCGCGCTATCAAGGGCCAAGATGCTATCAAGCGGTATTTGAACAAAACTTTGCACTTTGATGGTGCGAAGCGTATTTCCAATGATGGATTAATTGCACTGCCGCAACACCGTTAAGGACAAAACAATGTCCACATAATCAAGATCAGCTAGTCTTTCATCAGGCAGCACCTTAACGCCATGCATCGTAAGGCTCGGTAAGGAAACATTCCACGATGGAGCCCACGAAGAAATTGAACAAAATGGGGAAATTTGGCAAGCCTAACGAACCCCAAAAAACTCACCGTAGACTCTGACGCGGCCTCTAGTGTTCGAGTACAGAGCACGTAAAATGTTCCCATATTCCATGGGAACACCTTTCCGCACAAATATCTCGATAATGGGATCGATCGATTGGGTCGAAGGCACGTTTGAAGTCGAGAAACACAGCTCTTGTCGATCTGCGGCATAAGTGGCGCTGCTCTAGCATCTGTCGCAAAGTAAGTATATAGTCTATACACCCACATTTAGGGCGAAAACCTGCTTGCTCTTCTCTAATCCGGGATTCTCGTTAGACAGTGGAGCGACGAACGAAATTGAGGCCAGTACCCTAGTGGTTAGCACAGTCAGCGAGACTGTCTCTCTTGTATATTGCCACTTAAATCGATTCACTCCAGTTAGGCCGGACGGTCTCCTCCTTCTAGACACGTTGGAACTGGGAAGTTAGTGCTTTGCAGAGGAGTTCACTTCTATACTTAAACATTGCATGTGAGAGGAAATCCGGGTCAGCAGTACGAAAACGACTGAGAGCTGTGATCACGATTGGACCTCGGCCTTTGAAGGAGCCTCTAAACTAACTGTCTATGATTCATCATGCATCACCTGAGTAGGAAGAAGTACGGAGGTAGTGGGACAACTGAAGTGCTCCGCCCAACGAGCCATACGGCACTCTTTATTGTGAATCACGGCACCCGCGCTCCCTGATTGTCTCACTGATATCTGGTTTCCTGGGACCAGTGGTGCGGATCAGCTGGGAGAGCTTGCGATAATTACCTACTACTCCCGCCTCGTCCAATCCTTGAACCCTACTAGTCCACCAAGCCTCCTTATCAGCGCGCAGGCTACGCCCTAGTTCGCGCCTAACAATACTTCTGGCCACATTGTGCTCAGGGCCAGATGGGAGTTTTCTTCGGGGTTCCAACAGGTTCACCGAGCTCTCGGATATCAAGTGACTGATGCGGTGACGATTGATAGTACCACAAGCAAATGTTCCTACGGCGTGCGTGGCGGTTGAGATCCTATTCCACTGAAGCTTGGTGTCATTGTGACAAGCGTGAAAGTTCGGTACTAAGTGCATCTTGGTAGGCTCGTCTGATCGAGGGCTGGGATAACTTCTGTTGGCAATCGAGGGAGACGTTTGGTACACTTACCGGTAAAGTTCATGGAAAAACGACAGCGTATCAAGGTATAATTGGGGTCGACGCAAGTACTCCAGAAAGAGCGACAATTCACAATTGAATCACGCCAACTGTCACCTATGGCAACGTGATTTATTTGGGTTCATCGCTGGTCAGTTACAGAAGGACGCCAAGCGGCACTTCGGCGCCCACTGAGTCTAAAAGCGGTACTGCTAAGAAACAACCGGTGCTCCGCACACAGCTGTAACAGACGCTCGCCGTTGTCCATCCGTACGGAGTTGAGTCCATACTTACCATCTAGCAATGCTTCTGAAGAGCTAAGGTGCCATACTTTTGCGTTCATATCCCCTGCAAAAACTATGATAACGGAGCTAGTAACATTGCGTAGTAGCGTGTTCAGTTCGTGGTAGAAAGCGTCCTTTGCAGCATCTGAGCTGCAGTCGGTGGGAGCCTAAGCGGAAACCTCTAACAAACAGTGTCTAGTGCTACTCCGTGAATCAACCTTAGTTATCGTCGTCAAACGGACTGCAAATAAACGGCTGCTGACTGGAATCCAATCAACCAACAATGACTCGGCCTTAGAGCTGAGAACGATGTCCACACCAGCTTGACCAGTGATTCCCGCATCAGCGTCTCCGGATGTGTGCAACCAATAGCGAGAGCACAAGCCTGGCGCAGTTAGTTCAACAACCCTGTGAGCGCCATTGATCCGAGTTTCGGATAAACAAGACACGGCAATACCCAGCGCGTCTAACGTGTGTGCGAGTGCAGCCTATTGACCTATTTGTCTTAAAGTTCGAACGTTGAACGCCGCCAGGGAAACGGGACTGCGTGATCTTATAAGGAGCTGTTGGTGATTTGTGTCCAGTGGGTGGTGCGGGAACGTAGCTGCAGATGGCATGACTCCAGTGACATTGCGGTTGCTGGCAATAAAACTGAGAATAATAGGAGGAAGGCTAGTAATGGGGATTGAGAGGGGAGTAAGAGAAACGGTTGGAAAGGGAAGAAGGGAGACGCCAGCAGCAGCATGTTTCCGCTTATCCGCTGTTCTATGCAGCAGATAGGGTGACCCTTGATAATCTGCGCGACGGCCGATGCATGATTTGGTTGGAGTTTGAAGAAGTCGTTGTTGTACGTGGGGAACTCAGGGGACAACTTCCCGTAGATCGTTACTCGCTATCAGGAGTCACGGTAGAGAGTTCAAAATGGAAAGAAGTTTATCAAGTTGTGTTTCAGAGATAAACAGTGCCACAACCTAGCACGACCAGTAA